GCATGAACATAAACATTGAACATGAATAAGAATGAGAAATTTCAAAAAATGCCACTTTTCAAATGTCACTTTACAAAAATACTACACTTTTGAAATCTTTACAAAAAAAATCACTTTTTCAAAATTATTTTTTCTTTATATTATTTATGTTTGGGTTAACTATGTTCTATTAGAGTTTAGTTACGAGGGTTTATGGGGATTTAGGGGTCAAAACATTTTTTAGTGTTGAAAATTTTAAGATATAGGGTTTAAAAAACTATAATTAGTAACATTTTTGTAAATAAACACTCCTAAATAGCATTTTTGCAAAAATACACAAAAAATGGTATTTTTTCAATTTTCCAAATAAGAATTAAGACTACACATATTTATAAGAGGCATAAGAGACGACCTAGGGTTTACAGAATCGACATCCACTTTGGGCCAAGTTAGCTAATGGATCTAGATCAAATAACTATCATAATTAAATTAGGCTCGTGCTAGTAAAAAGACAAAAAACTCTAAAACATTATTAATAAAACACGGACAATTCCGTAAAACATACACATGGTACAAAATTTAATTAGCGAAAACATTAAGGACATCATTAAATAAATACAATTAAGTACCCCCTTGAGAGGGCTCCTCGAGCTGCCACATCAGCTTTTGCACTTCGTAAATAATAGATAGATTGTCCGTCGTGGTTTCGTATGATATAAAAAAAATTGTTCATCGTAAATATGGTGCAAATGAAACCGTTCGTTGTGGATTTATCTATGTAGAGATTACTTATTGTGGAAGCAACTGATTTGGTCTTGTTATCGATTCGATCTAGTGATTACTTTTGCAGGAACGTAAAGAACACCAAGACGTAACGAGTTCCCAGCCAACGACTGGTACTTCTCGTGGGAGACTCTCTTCCCAAACTCCACTAGAAAGATGAACAAGAGCTTACACACGCCTTATCAATGGCGGTTTAGTCTAGGGTTTACAAGAGAGATCTATATGAGATTAGAGAATAAGAAAACTTAGAGAATAAGAGGTAAAAACCCTAAGTTGAAGAAGAAACTTGTATCTCCTATATATATATATCGATCAAGTCTTGATTCCTTGTATATATAAGCTCGATCTTGCTTCTTCTTTCTCTTAGTCTATTTTGGATCTGTTGTAACAGATTTAACAGATACCTTGTTGGGCCAGAACCAATCCGCAAGGCCCATTACCAATCTCTCTCTCCTTTTGTCGCTGGGCCATAATCACCTTTAAGCCCATTTGTCCTTGTCGAGCCTCACTAAGTCCACAAACTCCACCTTGAGCTCGGACAAGCCTCAGACAAACATGCGACTGTCGTAAACCCTAGCAGCTCTTGTTCTTCCTTTTTCTCTCTAGTGGCGGAGTACGATGGATCTCCTTCTCGTCTGTCCATGACTCCGACGGTTCTACTCAGCCGATGAACCGCAGTCTACCTTCTCGGCGAACCGAGGTACATCTCTCATCTCCCTCGAATCCTTTCCTTTGTCGATTCGAAATGAGAGGACTTTCTGAGATTCTGAGAACCCTCTAAATCG